CAAACAAAATATAATAAACAAAAATCCCATGTAATTCTTATTTGGGGTCTATTGAAAGTGGCTGTGACTGCAGTTTGAATATTGCCTGCTCTGGGGCAGCCTTGTTGATCAGAATGAGGAGAGGGAGAAAGCTAGTCTTTGTTGTGTTCCTACTGCGTGTTCACAATTGTCTTTTGTGTTGGTGGTTTGTTTTAGTGACATGAACTATCTAATTCGAAGACCCTCATAACATCGTGAGCTTATAATTGGCCAGGCACCCTCTGAACAGCTTTATGTGTTAGCCATTTCATTCTCACAATCAGACTAAAAACTGCATCCTATTGTAGGTAAAGAAACTGAAGCAAAGAAGGTTAGGCAATTTTCTCAAGGTCTTGGGAGTGGCAGAGACAGGAGGCATTGTCTAGTCTGTTTATTGAAAAGAGGCTGTCTGTGTTTGGTAAATATTTTGAGCAGTGTGAGAATTAAGTCCACAGTTATACTGCAATAAATTATGGGGCCACATTAAGCCTTTGTCATCTGTTTTTGGGGCTTTTGGTATTTGTGTATTTTATGTGGGGTGTATGTGTATATATTGTGAGTTTGTCTATATTATGTATGGTGCATGCCTATGGGTGTGTGTGTATACACAGATATGTTTGTGTGCTCGTGGCTGTGGGTGAGGAAGACAGAGGACAGTCTTCTACTGTCATCTACTTTATTGAGACAGAGTCTCTTACTGAATTGGAAGCCCGCCACTTCAGCTAGGCTGGCTAGACAGTAAGCTCCCAGGATATGTTGGTTTCTGCCCCAAAATGTGGGGATACAGGCACAGGCAGCCATGACTGGCTTTTTACATAGGTTCTGGAATTCGAACTTAGGTCCTCATGCACACAGGAATCACTTCTAACCACTAAACCATTTCTCTACTCTCTAAAGTCAATGGAAAGATTACTAACAACATAAACAAAAGAAAACATGTCTGAGTGTGGTGACCCTCAGTTTGTTCTCTCTTTCTCTCTCTCTCTCTCTCTCTCTCTCTCTCTCCCATCTCCCACTCTCTCAACAGGGTCTTACTGCTCTGACCCAAATTAGTAATGTAATCCAGGCTGGCTTTTAACTCATGACGCCCTCCCCCTTTCTCAGACTCCAGCATGATATCATTGTGGGGGCATACCATTATACCCTGTTATCAGTTTGAAATCTCTAGGAAGATCTCCTGGACCACATTATGTGACAAAATCAATAGTCTCCTTTAAAAGTAGGCCTTCCCTCAGTCCAGCTCCACCTACTCAGGGGAGCTTTGGGGCAGTTACTGCTGTGATTCCTGGAGACCTAGGGACTTCCTCTACCGGCCGCCTCTGGTTTCAGAGATGATATTTAATTTTATTCACTCAACCACTATTTATTTATTGAGCTGAGCTCAGCAATGTGGTTACAATGATAAAGAGGACAGGCATGGTCTGGGCTTTGAGATTCGGGTGTACCGGGGGGAGTGTATGACAGATACTAATCACATTAATAAATAAAGGCTAACCGCCACATGCCAAGAATGAAACGCAGGAGGTGTAAGAGATGAGTACCAGCGAGTCAGCATTAACCCGGGAGCACAGTCAGAGACGGCCCCCGGGAGACCCAGGCAAAGAGAACAGGGGCCTCCTGGGCCCTGCTGGCAACCGGTGCCAAGCCCCCCACACGGAGCCATTGTTGAAGCATTCCGCAAAGGCTGTATAGCAGTGTGGTGAGGGGTGTGTGTAGCGAGTGAGAACTGACTGGTGGAGGGACATAGCCACTCCGTGTCAGGGGTGTGAGAACCACCCCGTCCGATGTGTGTCTTTCAGAGAGCATTTGGATGCCGAGTATGGAAGACATAGAGGGGAGACAGAGACAATGGTGCAGACACGTTACTGGAGTTGTTTGGTCAGAGCCTGAGCCCTGGCAGCTCTAACAAGCCAGTCCTGGCCACCAGTCCCCAGTATACCAGTAAATGAGTTATAACAAGCTATAACGACAAGCAGAGGACGGAGATTTACTCAATGTGGCCACGTTGGGAAGAGGCGCCACTAAAGAGGTTCAGAGATTTCCAATCCTGTCTTAAACAAAGAGGGCTAGAGTTTTGTATAACTAAGTCCTTCTGGTCAGCTACTGACTATTATTATCTGGGAGTCTACGATTTCTTTCCCCAGCAGGAGATTCCTGGGGAAGTTTTAACTAGGTGGGGACCATTGTTTCGATGGAAACATCTTCACTCTGACAGGAAGTGAATGCTGGTGCTCCACTCGCAGCTTGGGTGACAATAAGTGTGGAGGGCAGGTAGTGAGAGGGATAAAGGGTGTCAAAGGATATGCTTTTAGGCAGAGGCAAGCAGATAGATCAGGATTGGGTTTCTATTAATATTGCTGCTAGGGATCGGTCAAGAAGTACTTGTTCCTGATGTGGGAGATGCCCCTGCTCGGGCTGGATTTGGCTGGGGAATCGTTTGATATTCATTTCTCATTGCTGTGGATGATCCCTATTGCTTGAGCTAAGCTATTTGGTCCTAATGTACCCACAAGTGCCATCCTTTAAGACCCAAATCTACAGGTTAGCACTTGCCTTATTTATTTTATTTTATTTTTTGCACTTAACATCACTATCCTACACTGAATTCTAAATGGGGAATGGCCCAGAAAGTTTCTAGACATGCCCTCTGGAAAATGAGTGACAGGTACAATTTTAAGGGCCCAGTGCCCAATACTGTCTCAAACACTTACATAAAACTAACCATCTTAATCACTTAATTCATATCCCTATTTTGCTGACAAGAAGACTGGGGCAAAGGAGAGAGTGGGACACCAGCATTCATCCCTCTTGGGTCCCTGAGTGTAGGGGAGGTGTGACCACCTGCTCTGTGTTTATGTCTTCCTGCCTTCTCGGGACGGCCTGTGCCTGCGAATCTAGAGTTGAAATACACCTTTAAGTTGCTTCTGCCAGGTATTCTGTCACAGCACTGAGAAAGACAACTAATCCCGAAGGTCACGTAATGACCTTTGCTGGGTTGCCTGTACAACAGAGAGCACCATAGAGAGGAAGACGCCGTCTGCTCCCAAATTCGCACATCTCCACTGTACTCTATGTGTGGTCTCGGGTAGCAGGTGGCATGTGCATGCATCGTTCTGTATTTTGTGACACATGGCATGATTTTGCTTTGTTTATCCCCATCATTGCCCAGCCACGCTGTCGGAGAGGTCCTGTCCTGGATGTGCCCATCTTGGGACGCACACAGACGGTGGTCTGCCCTAAGCTCCAGCTCAGAGAAACAGAACCGATAGCTGACTGGGCAAAGGCACAGTTCCGATTCAAGAAAGATCTGTTCAAAGCATACAGGGAGCTGTGAGGTGGCCAGAAATGCAGGGCCGCTTCACCAAGGGAGGTAGTCACAAGCTAAGCCATCGGCAGGTTCCCTGCAGGGCCCTCCCTGGAGGACATGAAAGCAACTGGCCCATAAGTAGCAGAAGACCAGCGGGGGATGTGCAGAGCCCAGTGAGGAAGACAGACATAGCAGCAGGCAATGATAAACAGAGACCCCACAGCTGCACTTGAGGGCTTTGCATCTCTAGCATCCCCTCTGAACAGCGCTGGCTTTGTCTGATGCACAGGAGGTTGTAAATGCCTCCAGACAAGGCACTATAAGACTACCAGAGTCCTCGCCTGCCTAACACAGACTGATGAGCTTGTCTCCCTCTGCATCTCTAGGGAAGCTGGGACAAGGAGATCGCAGGCTGAGGCAGGCTGAGGCAGGCTGTCAGGACTGGGGGTTTGTTTCTGTGATTCTACCGGGAGAGGAAGTGTGGCCCAGCTCCTCGGTGCATCCACAGACTGCCTCTGTCTTGGCAGAATCACTTTAGGCAAAAATCTGTGCACTTTGAGTCATCACTTTGCTTCTTCTTAAAGGTACCAGATGCAAGCTCTTGCAGGCAATCCCAGAACATCTTAATGTGCCCTCTGAGATGCTGTTCCCATCTAACAGCGTTATGTTTTTCAATCTTAACCTCCCTCTCCACTCAAAGTTTTCCAAGTTTAGCAAGTTTGCCACCATGAATGAGGAGTACCATTGCACCAAACAGACTCAAGGCCTCCAGGCACTCCACTTGGCACATATGGGGCAATGAATTCACATCCACGCAGAAGGGGCCAAGCCTGACTCAGTATTGCAAATGCTTAACCATCACTTTCTAGTTAAGGGTGGGGGATCTATAGATTTTGGTTTTCAGCAAAGGTACCTTTAACGATTAAGCTATAGACGTTTTTTCAGGCCCATTTCCTCTGTAATTGAGAAGCCAGCGATTTGGAAGAGCCATCGAGGACCCCTATACAAAACTTACTGACCTGTTTCTGACTCCGCTGGAGCATGGTTGATGCTGCCAAGAGCCAGTTTAGAGCGTACTACCTTTGCAGTGATGAGCAGATGGAGGGAGAGGCTTGTGCTTTCTAGACAGCCATTAATAAGCCTCTTAGAAACCACATCCATTCCCTCTGCAAAGAGTTCCTTGAGAACGCTCAGAACAGTATCTACTATTTCTCAATTCACACTGTGCACCTGCATGGGGCTGGGTATTTTCATGTAAGTAGCCTCGCTTCATCTTCATAATGATGCTCTGGGGAAAGGAGAGTGTCATATGCATTTTAATTCTGAAAATAAAAACAAAACAAAACAAAACAAAACAAAAAAAAACCTTGGAGAACCCAAGCGACTGGTCCGTTTCCTACTGAGGTTTGTTTCAGGGTGCAACCAAATGTCTGTCACACTTTTATAGGCCTCCCCATGAGATCTGAAAGTGAACGTTGTTGATAAGCAACTGACCCACTTTGCCTCTGACCAAACATCCCATGCCTTAGGATCCTAGGCAGTGACTCCATTTCTCATGCACCATGGACGGTCTCCCTGTGACAAAGGAGTCTGTGTCTTACGCTGCTTGTACTGAGATGCACTTTCCCCTTCATCTGTGAGATCCCCTTTCTGACACTCCCGTCCCCATCCACAGGCTATTTTCCTCAATGGTGGCTCACTGACTGCTTCCTTGGCACCTATTGGACAATACAGTAGATGTGAAGGCCCTCCTGCGGATCTCTCACTATCGTGTCCTGGCTGTGAGTAATGTGTCTTTATATTTAGCATGCTACTAAGGCTAATTATATCTCCGAATCAAAAGAGATCGTTCAATTTAAAAGGGAAATGATTAGGCTCCACAGAGCCTGCTTTTATGGTGAACCAAGAGAAAGCTAAATGTGGAGGCAGGATTCCCATAACTGGGGAGACACAACACCAGTTCTCAGGAGGGTGGAGTAAGGCATGGGTAAGGATGGCTTCGGAGGTAGACTCCTGGTGAAAGGTGTGTAGCTCAGTGGTGGGGGCTGCCTTTGGTGCAGAAAAATTTGTTTAGAGCAATGAGTGAGGGCTCAGGAAACCATACACCAATGTAGCACCTGGGCTGCCCTGGGTCCTTATAGCTCCTCTATAACCACAGGACTTCTGTGGAAATAGAAACGAACTGGGTCCCTTGGATCTCATCCTGTGATTGAAGTACTCATCTCCATGTGAAATGGCAGACCTGGGGAAGCCTGGCTGACTCTGCGGCTCTTGGGAGCACTCCCCATCAAGAAACTGCCTTTGTATTTTTGCTGTGGAGTCTCAAGGTTGGGAAAGCATACCCCAGGGCAGGAGGCACAGACTCTGGGATATGTTTACTGGCTTTATGTTTTATGACATGCATTGAGATCCAGTATACTTGATATAAAGTCTTAAGTGAACTTGTAAGATATAAAACAGACCTGGGTTTATTGCTATGGTTCAAGGAGAAGTGGCATCTGAGACCCCAGTCACATTGTCCTATTCTCAAGAAGCCCCCAGAGTGTCTGGGTGAATACTGCCAGAGACCATGGTGCAAGTCTGAAAATCACTAATTGTAGTCTAAGCATTTTTCTGGTTCTTGACTACTTCATTTTTACATATCATGAGAAATTAATCTTAGGTGAACTCCTATGGTCCTTTCATGGCTCCTATGCAGAATGAAGGGCTATACTCCCCGAGCTCTGTCCTCCCTTTTGTAAACACAGTGATCTCTCCTTTCAGTGCTCATGCCTCCCCTTCATTGGATCCAGAGGCCCATGAGTTCTAACATTATATGCCTGGATACAGTGGAAGAACAAGGCTACTGGGTTTATGTTTAATGTGATATCTACTGAGGACAATTAGGAATTTGTCTATGGCACTCAGGGCATATAACCTCAAATTGAGGCAGCCCAGGAAACTGTGAGAGATGCCTCCTCTGAATTTTAAGTCAAAGTGTCTCTCATTTTCTAGGGATATTCTGAACAAGGACATTACCTTCTCTACAATCAAACCTTCAGTACTTTCTTAGGCTTAACTTTATCCTTCATGTGCTGCTAATTTTAGTTCTGTTTGTTTTTATCTGCACACTGTTAAGTTTGGCACATGCACTTAAAGTGTAAGCACGTTTATTTCTTTAACGTGTTTGAATTATTCTTTGGTTTTATACCATTGCTACAGCTTGGAATATTCTCCTAGGGATTTTTTTCTCTAGTATTTTTAGGCTAATTCTCTGTCCAATATTGGAACATCTCTAAACTAAAAAAAAATGAGCTGTTCCATAGCCCTTTAACTTTTCTTTTAGCAGAATGACTGATAGTGTAATAGTTTCCTTTATATAGGTCACCTTGGGCTAGAATGAAAAAGCAAACGTGTTGCTAGAGTTTCTTTCTAGCCTGGTCTCACAGCTGATAAGCCCCAAATAAATACACAGATATTATTAATTATAAAACTATTGACCGATGGCTTAGGCTTCTTACTGGCTAGCTCTCTCTTAATTATTAACCCATAAATACTAATCTATGTATTTTTACATGGCTTCACCTTACCAGAGAATGTCTGCCACATCCTATCTTCCTGGTCTCTACATGGTGTCTCCTCTTTGCTGTCCTATCCCCAGGCTTCCTTGAAGCCCCACCTATGCTTTCTACCTGGCTATTGGCCAAACAATGTTTTATTCATCAACCAGTAAGAGAAACATATATACAGAAGGACATCTCCCATCATCCATCATCTCTTCTTTCTGTCTAAATAAAAAGAAAAGTTTTAACTTTGACATAGTAAAGTTTTATATATATATATATGTGTGTGTGTGTGTGTGTGTGTGTGTATGTGTATAATAAAACAGTTATCTAGCAAGAACTATAGTTAACAATATTTAGCCCATTAACATTTGCCCAATTTAAAGAAAATATTCTGTCTTCTATCCTATCTTTGTGAGTCTAAAGTTTTATATATAACTTATTTTTATCATAACTAAGGAAAACCAAAATCATAACTATCTGTCTTCAATTCCATCAAAGACCTCAGAAGGATAATATATAAACTCTCGAATTGACAGAGACATCTCACTACCTGGACAGTCACCCAACGTTCTTCTGTAATGTTGGGGCATCCATCTTCAGCCTATAGGCCTAGAATGTCTGGAAGACTTCTCAGTGAAGCAGGAAATTTGAAACTGTCCTGCCTGTATTGGCAGTTTGTCAGTCATTTTTCTCTGTGTCCTGAAGAATGTATGGCAGACTCTTCCATGAAGCAGGAACCCTGAAGGACTGTCCTGTCTTGTTTTGGCAAATTTAGCAATCGCATTCCTGTAGATCCTGTTTGTCCAGTTTGGACAGCATACAGTCAAATAGTCCAGGCAAGAGCAGTTTCTTGCCCAAATGGCTATTTCTGCAAAGTCGAAGGCAAACTCCCTAATGAGTTTCTTCAGTGCCCATCTTCCTCAGGGAAGTAATTGGTGTTTCAAGGAGCAGTTGTGTCACACTGTCATGAAAAACCCTAAGACACAATTTTAAATGCCATATTCTGTAGGCCTTTGAAAGGTTTGAAGAATATCTATCCATTTGAATTATATCTCTATATATCTAGAAAATCTAACTAACATAAGTTTTGACTCTTATAGGTAACTGAAATCTTAATTACACATTACGTTTTTTAAAGAGCTGTATAAACACAATACCTAAGCAAGAGAAACATACCTATAACAAATTGACCTTAAATTTGTATTAATAAATCAAAATCCATACCAATACAGAGTGTTCATTTCTATTTCATATGACCCCCCTTTTTAGAAGGATATTGACTGTGATTATTAACCATTTATAATAAACCCCATTTAAATGAAAACAAGCATTTATAAATAATATTTGGGTGTAATTCTGTCCAAACTGATTCCTGCTATTTGGGGGGCACTGTCGATACCATGTGGATCCTGAGAAAACCCAGAAACCTGCCCAAATCCTGGCTGTAGTGGTCTGAGGCTACATCATCTCAGCAGTTTTGGATGTTGGATCAATTGGGCCACTGCTTCATGAGGTTTTGCTTGATCAAACCATATTAGTCTGGAAGGAATCCATAGCTTTTCATTTTCTGTGAAAACAAAAATCAGAATCTTTTTTCCAAAGTAATGTGTTTTTAGACTTACATTTTGAATTCAAGGCATTTTCAAAATACGTAAGTTGGATTAATCCAGCGGCATTTATAATCGTGTATTTTTTTAGCAGCTGTTGCTCTTTCCTCAGCAACAAAACAATTCAAAGACAACACAATTACATACAGTATCCAGACTCTCTGTGTATTTTACATCTTTACATGGCTTTTCTTTATTACTCTATTTCTTTTACTTTTATTTTTCATTTTTTGAGACAGGGTTTCTCTGTGTAACTTTGACTCTGTACACCAGGCTGGCCTTAAAATCACAGAAATCTGCTTGCCTCCCTTGTGCTAGGATAAGGCATGTGCAACTCTATTTCCTTTTAAAGGACTTTATCATTTTTTTTCTCTCCCAAGCCTATGTATATTTGTAAACACACTATAAGCCATTTAGATGTTTTTCTTTTTCTCTCTGAATCAGTCTTTACTGTATATCTCTATCTTTTTTCTGGCTACAAGTATTTTATCTGCTAAACAACATAGCTAACATCAAAGTGGTGGCTGTCCCCATTCTATTCCTTGACTTTCTGAGAGACTAGCTTCATGCTTATTGCCACCACTCTGGAGTTTCTAGGTTCATGCTGCCACGAGGAAGCATGCTGCCTGCTGCTCGAAACCACCACCTAATTGTTTGGAATCAGAGTCCCCCACTCTCTGCTCACATCTGCAGGTAGAAAGTTGACCAAGATAAGGTTGATTCATTGACAACAAATGACACCTGACACCATGGAAAAATCAAGTGGAGCCTGTTGATGGAAAGCTAAATAGGTGTAAATGTGTGAGTAAAAGCATCAAAGAAGTTTCTCCTTGTGAAGGGCTGGCTTTGTGCATAGCAGTTCATACACTTTGTGTCCCTTGATGCTCACCACATCTCTATTGCTTTAGAAAGACCACACAGTTCTCAAGCACACTGGATTTCCTTTGTACTTGCTAAGTTTTAAGTTTCTTGAGGGCACTATCTGGCCTTGGCTGTCTCATTGCTGGTTCTGTTCACAAAGCTGAGTTTGGGATAGGTTTGCTTTCCTTATGCAGGGACAATTGAGAAGGAGAGAGGCTCACAGAGGCCAAGACTGCTTTAGAAGCTGCTCTGCTTCCAGATTTTGGGGATGATGTAGTAGCCTAAAATGAGACTAAAAGTATATACAAATATCTGTGAATAAAGATATGTATATATTTTATAATAAATGCAGAGTGTACTTTAAAAAGCAAGTGTTAACTAAAATAAGCTAAGATCTAATGTCCCTCTGTCACATTTCTTAATTCAACAAAACAGTGATAATTTAATAGAATGAAATTAACACCTTTCAAGTGTAAAGCTCAATTGCTGGGAAAATGTATACAGTCACAACCAGCAATGCAGCCAACATGCAGACTAGGACCAAAGTTCTCCAAGTTCTATGTGGCCCCCTTTATTCAATCTCTTCCACCTACTTATAACCTCTGATATCTGATCTGAATTCTATCCCTTTACTCGCCCCCCCCCTCTCTCACACACACACATGGATACACATATACACACATACATACACACACACATACATACATATATACATACATACAGACAGACAGACATACAATGAACCAGTGGATGGAGCCATTTATACCT